ACAATGGAAGTGCTGCTGCAAGGCGGGGTGCGCTCCGCGCCCTTGGTGAGACACCTGAGACTCCCGCGCCGAGCGTTGCGCCTGAGACTCCCTTTCCGGAGGCCGCTCCGGCGACACCAGCTCCAAGTGTAGTACCGGGTATACTCCTGTACCACCTCCTGCAGCTACAGTGAGCATTGCTTCTGCCGGCGCTGCACTTCCGCCGTGCACTGCTACATACTGCTACCACCACAAGCCTCTTAGAATCAGCACGTGGCAAGGAAGATTTACTAGTTTTCGGTTTAGCTGCTCCTTCTACTCAACGCTTTGGGGAAGACAAGCCGCGCCGCAAAGGCAACAAGCGCAGCCGAAGGAGGGGAAAGCCGACGAAGCTCACAACGGTTTTCGAGTACGCATGCTCTACCAGCTCAATGTTTGGGCGTGTGAACGAGGAGCTTGGCGTGCCACACGTGCGCCTTGCCGAGGAAACCTTGGATGTTGCAAACGAGCTCGCGGTAGCTGGATGCAGGGTTGGAAGGGGTTGCCGTGTGAAGGTTGATGTTCTTGGCCTGATGGCTCAGCGCCGGCCCACCCCAGTTGACCAGCTGCTAACACGGTTTTGGCTGTTTCAGCATGTTTCAGCCATGACCAGATCTACTGCCTCCATGTTGCCTTTGTGGGGCTTCTTGGCGCCACCGTGGGGGGACATCCTCAAGGGAGTCTTTCCTCTTCACCAGGGACCAAAGGGACGTGGGGTGTGAGCCCTCCTACATGAATGACAGCATGCCATGTGTCAACCATGACCAGTCCTTTGTGACCGGCTGCTGCGATGCACGTTTGGAATTCAACCTGAACCTCTCTTTGCCTATTTGCACCCAACCCGGAGAAGGACAATCCACTGAGCAGTGCCACGAGCTGTGCGAGCACGCGGTGAAGCAACGTCCTGAAGATCGTCGTGCCCGGCGGGTCCTGTACCCCGTGAACCCCATCGACTACACGATCCAGCTTGCCTCGGCTTAGAATTGGGGGAACAACGTAAACCGACAAGGTGTGCCAATATTAGGAGAATCCGCACCAGCCTGCCGGCGTGTGAGCCATGGAGTGTGTTTGAGGAGCGGCGAGAACAGCTGCGGGCACTCCTCATCGCTATGATGGAAGAAGTGGAGGGAGAGGGCGAGCCAGACAATATGTGGCTGGCTATGTGGTCGAACGAGTTGGAAGCATGTCTCCCGGGAAGTTCCTTCAACTGGGTGTCCTTCCAACTGAACCTGTGGAGATCTCTGTGGATGACTCGCCGCCCCAAAACCATGCTACAGGGATGGCAAGCCAGCAACCGAACCCTGGTACGCCTGTCCCTGTGCCAGCGGTTCCTCGGGGCAGTCTCTACTCGCTGCAGGAGATCAACGAGGCAAGGCAACAAGCTGAAGAATATCAAGCATGGGAACGCCGCCTTATGGCGAATGAGCTTCGTCGCACTCAGGGGACCAAGCGAGGGCTATCATGCTGCATCCTCGAGATCGAGGCTTCATCGGGAAGCTCGGACAGACCAGGGGTGTCGCACACTTACGCTCTGAACGTGCCGGAGACAGGGGACGAGGTCAGACTATGCATCAGGGCCAGGATGGTCCCACCGCCGGAGGAAGTGAGAACCGAATCTGTCCACAGCGATGTTGCCGCCGTTCCCCCGACGTGGACACGCAAGGGGCCACCTGTGCGACGACAACCAACATGCTGAACCTGCTGGATTTCCAGGACTTCGCCAGGGTCTATGGCCAATGGAAACAAGGCAGCATCAGCTTTGAAGAGGTGGTGGCGACATATGGCAATGAGATGGCCGAGATGATCATGACCCACGACCCACGATGCGGTGGAGGCTGACGATGTGGACACCCACTGGCCTCAAGAAGGGGACAGCGCCAGTGCCTAAACCGCCTACGGCTACGCCTGTACCAGATGGGGCTCGAGGCAGTCGGCTGGAAGACGAAGAGGGGAATTGCATGAGCGGCGTCACCGATGCGACCACTCTGCCACTCCTATACAGCTGCAAGCTCAGACCCAGATGGAGGAGCACTCGCCCGACGTCTTGGAGGCCAACGATGAGGGCGGGGGCGACACTCGTGAAACTGACAAGCTCAAGGAAAGTCCGAGTCGAGAAGGGTGACAATGGCTGAGGGGGCAAAGGGTTCAGGTTCCAGCCTCCCACAACTATGGGTTTCGCCGACCTTAACTGCTAGGTGGAAAAAGGCGTTCAAAAAAAAAGAGAGAGCGAGCTCGTGGCGGCCCAACTGCATGAACAAAGAGCCACCTTTGGGCTTCGTTGCCCTGCGCCTCTGGATGCCAATGGCATCGCGTTCAGCTCAAAAGTGGCGGTGGCGAGTATCGCGCACAGCTCCTGCAAAAGGTTCATAGGTCTAAGAAGTTGTTCGCCCAGTTTGTTGAGCATGCTAAGACCGCACTTGATCTGGAGATCGATTTCACTTTCGAGTGGCCGAGATATTCCGATTGATGGAAGAGGCCCGACGTGCAAGAGTTCTTTAAGGACCCTAGGTTTAAGGTTTCTGGCTTCGATGGTTGTATGTTAGGTGTGTCCGCGTCACGGGGGCAGCCGGTGAAGAAACTGTGGTGCCTCGTGACAATGTCCAATGCCATCGTATCAGCCTTTGAGGGTCTTTGCAAGCATGATCCTAGTGAGCACGTTGAGGCTCGAGGCAAGGATCTCGAACTCACTATACTCACTGGGTTGTACACACAAGAGAGACGCAAAAACATCGCAACAAAGGGCAGGAGCTCAAGCACGTTTCCGCTTTGAGTGGTTACGAAGACCTTGGTGCCGTGATAGAGTCAGACGAAGAGGCCTTTAGTAAATTCAGGCTTGTCGAAGAAGTTGTTGACCTTTACGTCCTTATGTGTGCCGTCCATGGCATTCCTAAGGAGGCTACCGCAAAGGAAGTTTGAGCTATGGTCACAAAGCTTCTCTCTCGAGCTGAGATGATTTCATCGCCCGAGGCTCTTGATGCCGTAAAGCAAGAGTCCGATTTTGGACGAAACAAACCCGCAAGAGTACGCGAGCAGAGCGTCCAGGCGCAAGTGCGCCGCACCGATACCAAGGTTCACTTTGGAAAGCTAATGAGCATTGCATCCATCAAATTTTGGGAGCTTGCTAAGCATCTCCAGAAGGTTCAAGGCCGGATAGTTTACCGAGGTGAGTGTGCTAAGGACGAAGAGGGCGCCGCAGCGGTTACAAGGAGCTAGGGGCTAATCATACCTGTGTTATCCTCTGTTCAACCACTTTTTGCCTGCTCAGCTTACGGTAGCTTGCCTTTCCATCAGTCTAGTGCCGCAGACGCCGTCAAAGCGTACGTTCAAGCCCTTCTGACGTCCAAGTACCAGACTTGGATAGAGCTACCGCCCGAGCTCCGCCCTGCCTGGTGGCGTGAGTGCTTTGCACGTCCAGTGGTGCTGCTTCTACGCGCTCTATACGGACATCCCGAGGCAGGCGGGCTGTGGGAAAAGCACCTGAAAGGGGTTCTTAGGAATATGGGTGGACAAGAGCTGGCGGAATACCCAGGTAACTTTGGGTTCCCTGAGACTAAGTTGCTTCTGTCCACTTACGTAGATGATCTTACCCTCTCTGGTCCACAGGAGGAACACCAGCCCGTTGGGAGGCTTTATGCAAGGTTGTCGATGTAGAACCCCAAGAACCGGTGTACAGGATCTTAGCCCGCAATCATTGCATCATCAACGCCGAGCCCGACATCACCGCGAATGCAGCCCTGGGCGCATTGAAGGGTGCTATGGCGTTTGATATGTTTGATTACGTGCAGCAATCAGTGGACCTGTACAAGGTCTTACGAGACTTAAGGTTCTAAAGTATGCAGCCACCCCCTTCGCACTTGAAGGCTTGGCTAGGCAGGCTCGCACGTCCTGACCTGGTCAGTCCGATCGGTGATCTAGCGGCCAAGGTGCAAAAGTGGTCAAGGAACGATGACACGAAGCTGCTTCGTTTGATCAGCTACATCGATTCCACATGATTCCACCAAGACCCATCGGCTGAGGGCCAAGGGAGCTGCATCTTGCGCTCTATGTTGACGCCGAGTTTGCAGAAGAAAAGGAATGGAAAAGGACGACGCCGAGTCCACTAGTGGAGCTTTCTTAATCCTTAACGGTCCTAAGACTTTCTTTCCTTTTGCATGGGTGTCTAAGCGCCAGACTTCAGTGAGTCGCAGTACCACTGGGTCCGAGATAGTGTCTCTAGCTGAAAGCCTCTTCCAAAGGCACTTCCTGCATTGCAGCACTGGCAGACGATCCTCGACTATCCAATCCGGTTAGTCGTCCATGAGGACAACCAGGCTACGATCCACATAGAGCGCACGCATAAGGTCAACTTGGGTTCTATTCCCGAGGTGATAGAAGAGGATGATGTAGACATTGAGTATATCGATGCCAGCTTGCAAGCTGCCGACATCTTCACAAGGGCGCTTCCGCCTCAAAAGTGTTATAATGCCCTAAAGTTGTGTTGCGCATGCGTCAAAACCTCCCGGAGGTGTAAAGCCGGAAGTGGCCCTACCACCTTTTCCCCCTCGGGGTCTAGTCCCAAGTAGAGGCGTTCACTGTTGCACCAACTGTGCCGCGGGGGCGTGCCGCAGGCGCCCGTGTGTAGGAGGCTGCTTCAAGCACTTCGTTGTACAGCTTCAAAGTATGTACAGTTCCGTAGGCTGCAGATGACCCTGGCGGGGGGGAGTTAAAAGAACACGGCCCCAGCGACCCAGCAGAGGTTGTCTTCAGAGGCCTCTTGTGTTTCATGTTGAAGTATGTTGAAGTCAGTTTGCGGGACGCTTTAGGTTCAAGGGAAAGAGAACAGGGCTTGCAGTTAGATGCCCTGGGTTTGTTGAGGGACGGCTGGGTTTATGTACCTTCCTTCCCTCTTGGCAGCCTCTTGGTTCGCTTTGTCTGTGCGGTACGGCAGCAGTCGCAGCATCTGGTCGACGCGACGTTTTTGGTACGGCGGCCGCTCGACCAAGGTTTCCGATCGGTATCATGCATCCGAGCCTTTCGAGTTCCCAGCTGTCTTTCGGCTGGACGAGACTAAAAGTACACATCTGCATGGGACCCAGCATGATGCGGCAAACGTGGGTTGAATCCAGGAAAACCCCAGAGTGAATCTGACACTTCTTTTCGGTGCCAGCAGCCGAGATTCTTCTCTGCTGGTACCCCTTAGTAAGTGTGGTCGCTCCATGGCAAAGGACCGGCACGAAGTTCAGCGGACTCGGAGGTCCTCCAGTTCATCCAGTCGATCCGCTGGCATTGGCACCCGACGCACAAGCTAGCTGCCGCGATCTTAGATGTCAAACTTGTTTGAATGATTTTCAGAAATCTTGGAGCCAGACTGAAACAGACGCGCTTTCGACACGCCAGGTAAGGTTGAGACTTGACTAGACTCCCATGCTTATGATTTTTTGCCACCGCGTCGGGACACATTGAAGTTTCCCCCAATCGTGGGCCAGCGTGGGCATGCGCTTCAAGGCAGTCGCAGCCATTTGAAGTCCCAACAAACCGGGGGTCCAGGCCCCGCAGCTATATGTGCGACGTCACTTGCCTGTGGCTCCTTCCCTTCAGCAGGAAGCCAGAGCAACTCAGACTTTAGAAAACGCTGTAGCTTTTAGGCCTGCAAACCGACATTCCTGACGAACGACTGTTCGCTGCTGCAGAGGTCTCGTTGGTCGTTTTCTGCCTACCGGCCCGAGCCTAAATGCGCTGCTTTTTCTTTTAGCTGTGTTATGTGCATGGGTGTGAGTATGAGCTCTTTGAGGGTGCCGCGTAGTCCCTTTGGGCTCGTGCGGCAGCCTAGCATCCAGCCTGGGTTGTAGCTGATGGCGGCCGCGATGGTAGCGACCGCCAGCAAAGTTGGAATTCAAAGTTACTATGCATCTTGGTTGCATTGCTACGGCATGCTGCGGCAGCTTCCAGCTGGCCCAACCCGCAGCCTTCGGTCTCTGCTGGCTCAGGACACGAAGATCCAAGAGCTGAGTTCAATCATCAAGGATCGTTTCTTGGCGCGATCCTGAAACACAAGCTTAACCATGCCTGTCCTAGAACACTCCGCCTAGCTGGGTTTTAGCCATGTTCTGGATGTATCTCTTTCAGAGCACAATGACGTAGGGTGCTCAACGTCATGGGGAAGAAAGAAACGCAAGCCCGCTTGACGTTGTTTTCTGCAAAGCGGTGAGTCTTGCACACCAGCCCATTCAACTCACGGAGCCGTCAACAGTTTCTGACCGTCTGATCCAAGTGAATCTGCAACAGCTTGATGGCACGCCCAGCTTGCGCAATTCAGGCAAGAACAACCTGCGTCGTTTGGAAGCACAGCGCAATGAGCTGAACAGCAAGGTCCGCCAGCTGCGTGCGGGCCCCAGTACGATTCCTCAGTCCCCAGGGCCGTAGTGTGCTGTGTACCTCAAGTTTAGGTGCTTGTTCTGTTATGATTGCAGGTGAGGAGCTGCAGCTGTTGCTCGAGCCGGCCTCAAACTGTGGTGAAGTCATCAAAGCCATGGGCCACTTTGCCCGCCCTACAGTGAAAGCACTATGTAGTTTCAGGGGATTACACTCTGCTTTAACAAGTTTCGCCGTGAACACGCTAGGCACGAAGAAGGTGCTCGTGAAGGTCGGGCAGGACTGGCTGGATTTCGAGAACACACTGAACACACTGGATATAGGGGACAGGAGATATGAAAGACTAAGATTGACTGATTCGATCATCTAGAATCTACATTTAGGAGCTGAGAAGTGTTCCCCAGGTCCAAGCACTACTTAAGCGGAGAGTCCAAGCTCAGGGGAAACACGGTCAACGGAGGGAACTACTACCGGGTAGTGCGAATGCGCGGGTCCAGCGAGCTCCTCACATAAACCCCAGAGAGAGAGAGAGTGGAGGATCAGGCAATCTGCCAACATTTACGCGTGTAACGGTTCAGGCAAGAATAGGAACAAAGCTGAGTTGCCAAATCTGGCTTCTAAATGCCACAGCTGTTCACCAAATGCGCACTTTTCAAGTGTGTTCGGGCTACTGTCTTTGGAATGCAGCACCTGAGGAGGGGAAGTATGTAGTGGACATCGACAAGGACATCAAAATCGAGGACTGGCGCAGGGATCGAAACCCGCTGGATGCGATGGAAGTACGCCTGTCTGCTGCAGGATTGCAAAGCAAACACCCGGATTGCCCTCACAAGCGACAGCTATGTTTTGCACAAGATCCTCCCAAGCAAGGTGCATACTCACGTCCGAGATAACCCGAGCCTACCTCCTTTCCTGCAGGTGGATCCTTTGGTGCAGCTGATGAAAGTCGAGAAGACACCAGATAGCACCTACGAGATGATCGGTGGAGTGGACAAGCAGATCAAGGACCTTATCGGTGTTGCGGCCCTTCGCTTCGAGGCATTCCTTCGATCGTCGTGAGGAGATTAAGGAGGTCATCGAGCTCCCGATAAAGCATCCAGAAATCTTTGAGTCCTTAGGGATTTCGCAGCCAAAGGCGTGGAGACATCCTTGTTATGCTCTGCGGTTCGTGCAACTGGCGACTGGCGTGCCAGGGCGTGCTGTTGTATGGCCCCCCTGGCACTGGCAAGACGCTGCTCGCGCGAGCTGTCGCCCATCATACCAACTGTTGCCACGGTCCTAGCCGTTGGGGTGGGTGCGCACACACACAGACACACCCACACCCACACCGCATGTGTGTGTGTGTACGCTGGAAATGGTGTAGGCTTCATCCGTGTCTCGGGCGGCGAGCTTGTGCAGAAGTACATTGGTGAAGGCATAGAATCGCCCGCATGGCTTGAGGCTTTGCAAGAGCAGCTTTGTGGTTTCGCAGGTAGCCGCATGGTGCGTGAACTCTTCGTCATGGCACGTGAGCACGCGCCGACCATCATCTTTATGGACGAGGCTGCAGCGAGCGAAGGCTCGAGGCGGCTTTCGTAGCTGCCGACTGTGCCTGCCAGGTGGACTCCATCGGATCCTCCCGGGTGGAGGGTGAATCAGGTGGTGATTCTGAAGTGCAGCGTACCATGCTCGAGCTTCTCAACCAGCTGGACGGCTTCGAGGCTGTCTTGACTGTTCGGGTTGTTTTGTCTCTCTGTTTTCCTGGTGGCTAGAAGAACCAACGCTCACCGCAAGCGGCTCGCAAGGCCCAATTGCCTTGCGTAAGTAAGGAAGGATTTATTCGAAGCGCCCTGCTCTTCAACCATGTTCAACCACTTCGCGAGACCCAATCTCAAAAGGTCGCACAAGTAGTGCCTGTGTCTAGTCTGTGCGTCTCTGTCATCTCTTCGCCCGTTACTCCCTTTTTTTCCGGCACCTCTGTGGTTCAGGGTTCGGTGTGGTACATGTAGCATCTGTACATTTCTGTGCTGTCGCCTTTGGTTATCTGTCCCGTTGAAGGCCTGTCTCTGTGAAGCTGTATTTGCAACGATCGTTCTCCTCTGGAGTTCCTTTTGTTCAAGTATGTTTATCCCGGTTTATCCCCTGCCTACGGTGAGCCTTCGCTCGGGTGCGGTACTCCCTTTGCCGTGTGCAGAAGTGCTGGCTGTCACGCGGATCATGACTCTCGTTACTCTCGTTGCTTCGTCCACCCCATCTGTGTACGAATGCGAATGGTATCGAGCAAACGGCCCCCACGAAACAAGCGACGGTCATGCAGATCACAGCTTCGTACGAGCCACTGTTGCCCCGGATGTCGGAAACTTGCGAAAGTCACAAGGAGCATGACGCCAACTCCCAGCATTGGCATTTTTACATAGCCGGTGCGATCTCAGCCTCCGCAAAGGACGGCTGTCACGAGGATCGCGCACCCAATACGCTGCTGTGAGAGACATGGGAGGCGGTGGAAGACTACCGGGGTGGGTACAGTGGTCAGCCTATGTGCATATATGGACCCTTCCCTATCTATTTTGTCTGATAGGATTGATCTCTCCTGCCATGCCATGCCCCATAAGTTTTTTGGTTTTTGGCGATGTTTGCCGCTGCGACTCTTTTTACGGCCTTGGGCATTCGGCCTGGCATGGCCTGGCACGGGTTTGAGTTCTGCCACTGGGTTTTGCACAAGTTTGCGACTTGCGAAGCTAGCGGCTGCATCGTCATTGGCTTGGTGCACTTGGGCCTGGGTTTTTGTCGCCCATACAACAGCGCCATCACCGTCTCCATTTGTCAAATCGAAGGACTTTATTCAACACCGTTGTGAAGATGTGTTGTCTATAGTATGCTATTTCAATCCTTGCATGTCCCGGACTTTTCGTGGCAAGCAGCCAATGCATCGCTTAGGAGTCACGTAATTTGTTCGACTTCCTTGCAGACATTCGGACTTGCATGTCACATCATCGAAACAGCACTGCAGTTTGGTTGGATGCAGCGGGACAAGTGCGCAGCTTTGTAGGGACAGCAGAAGCGATCGACCGGACGGGCAGAAGCGTTCCGGCATTCAAGCGATGCTGATGCGGTGGCCGCGGTGCGCGATTGCGCCTCCGAGCTTTCGCGAGAAAATTGTTAGGTGATCGGCACGCGGCACGCAGCGACGCGGATGCCACAGTATTGAATGGTATCCATTCGTACTGCGCCCTGGCAGAGCTGTAGTGGGATCATGCCCTGCTTTTCGCCCTTCGAACAGCGTGGCCACGGCCACGCTAGTGCTCCTGGCAATCACCTCGAACTACGCCCAAGTGCGAACAAGATGAAGATGACTGCAAACCCATCAGACTATGACGCGGGTCTCTAGGCGTAGACAGGCAAGCGGCAGCCGTGTTGCTGTTGTCTTGTGCGGCAGCCCTGTTGCTGTTGTCTTGTTGCACAAGAAGAGCAGCGCACAAGATGCAGGCAACCACCAACATCAAGGTTATCATGGCTGCTTGGTAGCTCCTTGCGGGTTTACGTGGCGGTAACAGTAGGATGCAGCAAACTTGCAAAGGTTTACTTTGTGGACAAGTTTGCCTAGGCCACTAACAGAATCGACATCCTGGATGATGCTCTTCTCCGGCCTGGTCGAATTGACCGTAAGGCAACGCATCAGCCAGAAGCAATAAAGGTGGGGTAAATTGTTCCTTCCCACCGCATGTGTCGACAGGTGGAATTCCCGAATCCCAACGAAGAAGCCCGTGTGCAGCCCGGAGGTCTTGTTGGTTCAGAACATAGACACCATGAAAACCGCTGCATTGTGCTCTTCGACTTGCCCTTTTCCTAAGGCCAAGAGATTTTGAAGATTCACTCCAGAAAGATGAATCTCATGCGACTTGAAATATATCCGTTTGAATCGCCGTGAATGCGTTGATGCAAGTCTGGTTCAGATCTCGTTTCTGTCTGTTCAGGCGTGGCATTGATCTGAAGAAGATCGCGACTGGCATGAACGGAGCCAGTGGGGCCGAGAGCAAGGCTGTCTGCACAGAGGCTGGCGGTTTGCTGAAAAATCATGACATGCTGCTGGCGGTGGTGGTGGTTTGGTTTCTTTCCACCAGCTCTCTGAACCGTGGTGAGAAGCAGGCTGGAATGTTTGCCCTGCGCGAGCGGCGGCAGCACGTGACACAAGAGGACTTTGAGATGGCTGTCTCGAAGGTGATGAAGAGTCTTGGAGATCGTGAGAGTTTCTCGATGCGGTAGACTTCATTTCAACATCAAACGCTCTCTCAAGGAAAGATTCGGACAAGAATATGAGTCTGATGCAGTTGATGAGGTGAGAGCGGTCTCCTTATGCACTTGTTCAGCGTCAACATGCCTGCACACAACTTGCGCATACATCTGCACACAAATGCATATCCGGGATGAGCAGTCAGGTAGAGCTTTCTACAGCGCAAGTCCCCATCGTCCGCGGGCTGATTCCAATTCGAAGTTTGTCTGAGCTGAGCCTGTGCTTGCGTGGTCTCACAACCTATAGAGAGGGCAGGTGTCAGATGCTCAGTGACACCACAATCGTCATCATAGAGCGGTGAGAGAGTGGATGTGAGAATGTCACTGCTCGCAGTAGCGCACTGGTCGGATGAACTCCACAGCTTCCTGACCATGTGCCGCCGCCAGAAAAGCGTGCTTGGTTTGTGTTCCCATGTTACGTGCATGAAGCCCCCTTTAGGCTGCTCAGGTCGCGGACATCTTTCGACATGAGTGGCGCAATCTCCAAGCATTTTCGTGCGTTGTGTCGCTGTCAGTGCAATTCGACTTGCGGTGCAGGCTGAAGCACGAGATCGTGAACCAGCTGGTCAGTTGTGGTCAGCATCGAGGAATCGGCTCTGTGTGTCAAAAGGCCGTCAGACAGATGGGCTGTTGATGCAATGTTGAGAAGATCTGTCCATTGTCACTTTCCGCTTTCTTTACAGCGCAGACTTGATATGGGCTGCCACGGCTAGCCTGAGGCCACAGAGAGCACTGTGCAGATTCGCACGCTAGGGATGCGTGCTTTGGCAAGCCCGTCGGTGGCCCAGGCTGCTCAGGCCAGACCACGAGCACTACCACTACCTACCACTACCGCTACGACATTATTGCTGCTGGTACTTCTGCTACGCTACAGCGACGACGACCACAACCGCAAACGACGACGACGACTGCTCCTCCTGCGGCTTCCTGCTGGCAGCAGCGCAGCAGCTGCAAGAAGGCTTGGACGGAACTGCAGACTGCAGCTCCAGGCTGGTGCCACCAGCACTTTAGAAGTATTGTGATTGCCTCGCAGGGCCTCGGCTCAAGCGATGGACCGAGGAATTACGAGGTGCTTTAGAAGTGAGAAGTGTTTTAGCAGAGCAAATTAGAGCAGAATCGCCGGCATGGCACCGGCAACTTGGTCAAGCTCGCCCTCATACTGCCTACGCAGGAGCACTGCAGCATCTCGCACTTCGTAGGTCGTAGGCTTGGCATAGCGTTTCAGATATGTCCGCCGCTTCTCTCTCTCGGTCTCGTTCCCGGCTGGTCCCTCAGAAATCTTGGCAAGAAGCCGGAAGTTTTCCATTCCCTTCAAAAAAATGGAGGCATCCTTGCAGTTTTTGCGCTGCTGTTGTGCTGTCGTTGGGAGGTCTGGCAAACGCAGCCGCGAAGCTGAGGGCAAAGCCACGAAGCTGGAGTGCCCAAAGCGTTCGGATGTGCGGCATTTTGCCGGCCGGTGTATTCTGTGTCTCTTGACTTAAGGTCGCATGGGAGGGGGGAACTTGAGGATCGAAACCAAGGCCCACACGGAGTGTTTCCTTGTCGTCTCCAGCACTGCAGTGATCAAGCACCTGCATCAGGGAACCGCAGCGATCGCAGGGGGAAGCGGCGGCGAGGAGACAGGCGGAGACGAGGACGAAGCAGAGGTCTCTTGCGAGCAGAGTTCGCTGTCTCTTCATTGTTGTGCTCACTAAAAAAAAGACGAGGTTCCAGTCTGGAGGCTTGGGGGCACAGGCATAAGCGAGAATCGTGCCGTGTGAGCTCTAGCACGATGCAGCTCCCACCCCCCGAGATCTAGGTCGTCAAAACTCAAAACAGTATCCAGAAACCCGCTGCCATTCGAGACATGAAGAGCAAGACAATCAACCTGTGCAAGTGCAGACGACAAGAACTGAAGACATGTGACCACTGGAGACGTCCCACCCGAGACAACCCATACCTCCATGTCCTGAACCGGGTATGTTTCGAAAGAGCCTTGAGTGCATTCTCGGCAAGGTTCACGATCCAACTGTGCCCAGAAATTGCCTCCACCGATTGTCCGATGTTAAGCAGCCCACAGCCAAATGCGAAGGACGCAACGAAAAACTATGGTTGTCGAAGCCCGCTCAATTTGCTTTGCGGTTTAGTAGCAAGAATCAGCAAAAACAATTTTTCCCGCAAGCTCTTAGGGTCTTTCTCCCGAACCTTCGTGATACCAAATCCCGTGCCGAAAGTCGAGGCTGAAAAGCCTACGTGCTACGATTGATTCCTGTCGTACTCGAGAGTCTCCATGTCGCCCTGCGTTCTGGGCTCCTGCGATACTGCGATTCGATCGCGAAAGTGTTGCGAGAGCGGGATAACTGATGATAACTGTATAATCCTGTTCAACGGATTGTGGTAATCGGCATGCCGACGCTGTTGCCATGCTTGCTTGATAAGGATAGTGAAAATTGAGAGAGGACCACAGGTGCGCAGAGCCCCAAAGTCCAATTTCTCATGCCCACCCTCGGTGCTGGCATCCTTTGTTCAGATCAGGATTTGTCTGCACGGGAACTTGATCAGTAGAAATTCGCGTCGGCATCAACAGTGGCTTGCATAATCCGCTTGGTCTGGGAAGGAATTCAGGCGGCAGCAAATGCAGCAAGCACGGGCACTTTACACAAGTTTTGTTGTAACCTGTTCTAGCTTTTCTAGTGTAGGCCGCGGCCGACGGCGTCATCACAAGGGCCATCGACGTCGGCGTGGTCGTCGACGAAGCCGCGAGCGTCGAGGCAGTATATAAGCTGAGGCAGCTGCACGCTGTAATTGCTTTCCTTGCCTGTATGCAGGTAGGCGACGACGCGATGCCCACAAAAGCCGCAGGAGGCGGCGAGCTGCCATGCCAAGTTCTGAGAACGAATAAACCACACAAGCATCACAAGTGCCCATGCTTGTCTCTGTCGGGCAAGGTCTGCAGATGTCGATTCTGATGACGAGGAATCCAAGGAGGCCATACTACAAGCTCGCCAAGGGACTGGCACGAACAGCCCGGAGCCAGCAGCCACCGCCGCCGCCACCTCCCTACTTCCGCCACTGTCGCCACCACCTCGTCGTCGTCATCATCGTGATCGTTTTGGACCTCCGTAGTTCCGCAGTTGATGCCTGCTGTAATAAAAGGGCTTACCCAATGCTGTAAAGATCATGGAGAGGTAAGTGAAGAAGAGGAGGAAGAGGAGGCCAGTGAGAACGACTCTCAGGAGCAGACAGTGCATGCAATGCGCTCGAAAAGGTCTTCCTACGGAGCAAAAGGGAGCGGTCACATGCGGCTTGCGGCCAGGAAGCTTCTGCAGAGGCATCGGAGGAGACGAAGGGATCCGCCGAGGAGGCTGGGTCCAATTCAAGCAATCCCACCTCGCCTCTGTAGCCTGGTAGTCTTGATCCAAAGCGAGTGGAGCAGAATCACAGTGGACAGCTCGACTGTGTCTGGTATCCCAAGCCAAGCTTTAAACAAAATCATTCACTCAGAAATGCTGATTCCTACCATTCTCAAAGAATTTCTCGGAGTGAACCTTCGGATTTTGTCAGAGCAATCGTGCTGGCACGAGATGTTCTTTCTCGAACCGTGGGCATGCATTGCCAACGTCCAGATGCCAAGCAACTTGTTATTGTATCTCGACTTTACCTGCTCAAAACCGCAGGACGCTGCAGATGCTGAGGCAGCGAAGGCAGTCGAAGAAGCGGAGGCAGAGGTTCAGGCCGATCCGCAGACGCTGGCGAACTTGTTCCATGAGCAGCGTAGGCATACTTGTGGTGCAGGCATGTTGCAACCTAGTCTCAGGATTGTCCCAGGACGTCCCATGCCTTTTGGAACTGCAAATGCACTTGGCTAGACATAATGCCCTGGAGTACATACAATCATGAAGCCAGCATGAAGCAAACACATGCCAGGTTTCACGAGATGACACCAGACCCGGACTAAATGGAGATGTTCAGTGTTATTGTTCCCTGCATCACTGTGTGGGGTTTTCACTTCTACTGTCGCCCTCCGCCCGCAGTCCTTGACTCCTCCCTTCCCTCGTCCCCTCCTTCACTTACTTACTCGCTCCTTCCTCCTCCTCGCTCAACTGAACACACACAAACACAGCACACACCCCAGAGAACATATCATAACCGACAGCACATAACACAACACACACACACACACACACAGAACACGCACGCTACTAAACGCATCCACGCAGCGTGTCCGACAGCATCTGTATAGACAAACCGCAGCTCTGGAAGACTGCAAATGCCACTAAACGCTGTCTCTAGAGTGCTCTGCGGGAAGCAGCGCGCGCAGCGCGCGCTTCGGGGTCCCGCGCTCCGGAAGACTGTAAAGAAAAAACGCCACTGAGATACAGATGCGGGCTAGTATTCAGGGCAAAAGTTGAAACGCCGAACATACCCCACATGTTTCCACGGGAACAACCCCGACCACAGACACCAAGGCCTCCTTCCACCAACAAGGTAGGGAGGGGGGGGGCTGGGCCCGGGTCTGTTTACAGACCTAACCCCAGCAGAAGGAAGAGGAAGAGATACAGATATGAAAGAGCTCGAACGTCTCAGAGCGACTTCTTGCTCAACCTGCCCTACAGGTTTGCTGTGCAGACGAATGCACGGAAATGCTCCTAAACCTTCAGCCTGATGAATCCCAAATCCTACCAGTAACTGCCATAACTTTGCCCCTGACACTTGCGGCAAGCTGTCCCGGAGCGAGTTTATTCGCAGAGGGTAGGTGACGGATGTGGGGGGGGAGGGGGGAGGGGGAGAGGGGTTCCAAGTGCGTGCCCGCACGAACACATAGGAACACACACGCACACACATACACACACACACACACACACTCACATACGCACGCACGCGCACACATGCACGCGCACACACACACAACGCACGTCCGACACACCGCACCTGCACCATCACCAACATGGCACACACCTACACTGCACACGCATATCATAACCACCTTCCTCTGAACTCCTTTGGTGGTATTTTGGTGGTCATACGGGAATCACTGTCATGTGGGAGTATCCGGTCCTTTAATTCTTTAGTTATGGTAATGCTTATGTTTTTATTGCTACAGTTTCATTCTTCTTGCAACTACTTGTACTACTGCTACTACTACTACTACTACCACCACTACCACTACCACTACCACTACCACTACTACTACTACTACTACTACGACGACTACTGCCACTCCTACTACTAGTACTACTACTACTACTACTACTACTACTACTACTACTACTACTACTACTACTATTTCTACTACTACTACTACTACTACTACTACTACTACTACTACTACTACTACTACTACTACTACTACTACTACTACTACTACTACTACTACTACTATTACGACATATTACTACTACCACTACGATTGTTAATATCACTGATGAAGATTATTGTTATCATTGCTATTATTGTTATAACTAGTTTTATAGCAGCAAGTGTTGTTGTCATTGCTATTGTCCTCATTATTATTTCTACGAGCGTTGCATGTCTTCTTCTGATTTTTACTACTTTTTACCCATTGTTGTGATCATCCTTTTCATGTTTATGGTTTTTGAAACATCAGCATTATCAGTATTATGATTATTGCCAGTATTGTCGGCATTATCATGTTTCATCATTATTTTTTGTTATCAGTATCATCACTATTAGTGTTCTTATCGTAATGAGCAGAATGTTAATCATTATTGGCATTGATAATTCTTTGAACTCGTTCAGGTTGCTCAGAGCTTGGCAACGGAAGCTGAGACGAAGCTTCGGGCTGCTGAAGCACAAGTGGCTGCCTCGCTTTTTTGAGTGTTGTCGATAAGGAGTGCAAAGAACATGCGCAGTGGCCTTGCTCAGAAACGCAAGCCAAATACGCCGGTGTCGGCTTTTGTCATAGCCGCGCAGTGCGTGCATTTACCTAAGGATAAGCGAGCGCACTGTTGCTTTCTGTTCGAGCTGCTTTGCGAGAAAGTTGTGTTTCGCAGGAGCTCGTGTTTTTGCCAGAGTCTGTGCCAGTTTGTGCATTCGCTGCCATGTCGTGGGAGTCGTGGGAGGTGAGTCTGAGCAGACGTGTGCCAGGCCCTATACACCGGATGTGTTAAGGAGTGAGGCCATCGGATCGCCCTTCCCGATTTGATCTGTTTCCAGCACTTGTTGAGCCGCGGTGTCCCCGGGGCAGTGACGACTTGGAACAGTAACAGTTCGCCGGCGGCGAACACTAATTCGACTCTTTCGACCTCGTGCTGGCATCTCCCGACTACTGGATCACCACCGTTGCAGCAAGCAACGTGAGGCCAGAAGTTCGCCGTCACGTTCACCTTCACCGGCAAGTTCGCTTCCAAAGGCCAAAGCGAATCACCCGGACCGCCAGCATCCAGGTGGTCGCCGAACACTCATCAGCTTATAGTGTTTTATAAAGCATCATCAGCTTATAAGGATGGGAGGGCGGGGGCAAAATTGATTGGCAGAAACCTGCAATCCGCTGCAGCAGTCGCACGATACTGAGCGATACTGTACACAAGCAAACGGACGCAGCACATGTCAAATGCAACGGCCCGCAACGGCGCTCGACACTCACAGATCCCACTTCATGTCCCGCCGTGCACTCGGCGCGCTGCCGGGCTCCATTCGAATTCTGTTTAGCACGAATGCACAACACTGCGCCAGCTTAGACAACGGCCGGGCGGAGGGTAAAGCTGCGGAGTCCCTTTTTTTTGGGCCGCTGATGCGCTCGGGTCGTACGGCCCCGAATGCCATGATATGCCATGATACAGACGGAAGAGAGTGACAATCAGCGGGCACACTCATCAAGCGCGCTGTCCGGGCCAACATGTCGTAGGCGGGTTGAGCGCTGGCACCATCCAGGCCCGGCGGGACAAGCTGGTCGGGCGTAGCCAGATTGAGGGCTGCAACCACAGGGGTCGACCGTAAATGTCGAAGCCGCGGTGCCTTGCAAGGGATTGGCTTGACCCGCACCTCCTGCCACCGGACTTGTCCTTTGCCACGCTGATTCCGTCGACAACACCGCGGTCGAGCACTCCCTCTGCAGAGGTTGTTCGAAGGACGCGTGGTTTACCAAGGTCCCGAGTTGAGTTGGTTTTGCAGCAGGTCGCTTTTCAATAATGTTCGTTCACATACCACCGAGTCACCTCGGCCGCAAGCTTGTCCCACAGAGTGTCCGCGGACGACTGGTCGGAGGTCGAGACTTGCAGTGCGAGAAAATCGGCTTGGAGTTCGAGAGCTTCTACGGGGGTTGTCCAATCATGTCCAATTCGTTTGCTCGACTGGCGACAAAGCTCGCCGACCACAAGGTCCGTGCCCCCAGGTGGCGCTGTTCGTGCTGGACTTGTCGTTCACATCGCTTAGCCAGCCATGTGCCAAATGCACCGCGGTGTTCGACGCACAAAAGGCCCGGTTCTGGAACAGTCGACTGGTGAAAAAATCCGAAGTGAGAACTGAGAACAAACTAGTTCGCTTTGCTTTGGACTACTGACAACATTGCACGTAAGCGAGATGTTCAGCCATATGGCAACGGAGTCGTGTTTTCTCGTTTTGCACACGCCGCACAAGGTCGGCCAGATCATCAACAAGCAGGCGCATAACCGTTCCGGGAAGTGTCACTATAGTTTCAGCTGGACGACGTGAGTTTGTCCGGATTTGTCGTTTTGCATTTTTTGAATGGAGTTTGGGCATTTGTTCAGGTGTTGGAGGCCGGGCTACAGGCACGTCTAGACCTTGACGAGCAGCTACTTGGCGCAATCCTTTTCTTTGACTGCGGCGTGTCAGACCAGACTGAGGGCGGAGTGGTGCGAGGAGATTGCGAAGTCAGTGCACTGTAGCTAGCAGTCGTAAAATCTTCGAATCGTGGAATATTCAAGAACATGAAGCTGCCGGGCACCCACCCACACATTTAGCACATGTGCTGTTGGTGATATCGCCCTCAGTGTCAGGGCCTTGTAGAGAGACCCCAGGCGAAGTTTCTGCACAAGCCGCTTTAAGCAGCATCGCACTGGACCTACTGTCCCCGTGGACCTGTGCTTACAAACAAAAGTGCGTGATGCCGAAGTTCCTTGTTTGGTACATCCCAGTTTTGCCTGTGCAAAGTAACATGACGGGCTTGTCCGCTTTCACACCGCTTCCATCTTGGGTTTGACACTATGTGAGATGTTGACTGTGCAGTCGAAGTCCGGTATCGCCTCCCAGGCTGAAAACCGTAAAGGAAGACTTCGAACTCGCTCGGCAAGAAGCTTTGCAGAAAGCAAGAGAAGATTTGGAGGCCCCGGGAGTTGCTTTGACCCGTTGTGGCGAGTGCTTCGTGCATCAACGCGACGTCACGTGGATGTAGCAAGCATCGATTCATCTGGCGCGTGTCCTGCAGGACTGCGCCCGTCCATGTAGGACGAAGGAGAAGCCACAATCAAAGAAATACTGGGTCTAGCGGCTACACAGTAGTTGCCGTAGCAGCTGCTCGCAGCACCAGTCAGTAACAGGATTAATGGTAATGCAGTAGCAGTTGCAGCAGCAGGAACAGCAGGAGCAGCAGCAGCAGTAGCAGTCGCAGTAGCATTCCCCACGCTGCATGACGTCCAGAGTCTGCATAGCGAGCTAGCAATACGACTTTGTCGCATCGGACTCTCCTATGGAGTCTATGGCGGGCCCAGTGGCCGGCACCATACTGCCCAGTTGTCATACATCTCAGCTAAAGAATTCCACGCTCAGTCATCAGACCTGGCTCGTAGCGAAGCCAGAGAGCATATGTGGCACTGCGATGAAGCGTAGCGTGGAGTCTGCATGATTGTGGCTGCAGGCAGAGCGGTTATCATCTGTGAGCCAGTTTTTGTTTCCACCGTAAAAAGGCTGACCGCAGAGGATTGCTTGATAATGTCCCTCGGTCGGCATCGCCCCGTGATGCAGTGCCATGGCCACGACCTGGCATGGCACATGCTCACACTCAAGACTGCGCCGCTCAGCTTCAGTGCCAGCTTTGAAGACTGGCAGATGAACAGTAGCTAGATGGCCTGTGAGGGGCCGTGGATCTCGCTGCATTTCCCCAGCCTCATTATGAAAACGAAGGAGCTGCAGACACACACGAGGCGCAGGAGAAGTCAGGGCATGTACACTGGGCTGTGAGTGCCAGCCATCAATGCACCACTGCAGATGACACACCTCACCGGAACAGAGAGGCAGCGGAATGGGCAGGTGAGCAGGACCGGAGTCCAGGACACAGAGCTGTTCATCTCGGAAGCATCGAGCCTCCCATCTGGAGACTACCAGGTCCGCACACAGAAATAGACTCCTAGGCAACATATATGCAAGAAATTCGCAAATGTCATGCTATCGCCCAAGCTGAGGCCATTGCCCAAGGAGCAGCCGCCACTGCATAAGCTGTGTGACCTGGAGAGCTCGAGCACTTTGAGTGCGCGAAGCCAGGGCATTGAAGCATGAATGCAGAGTGTAGGAGCTGGTGCCATGATGTTGAAGCTGCAAAGCGGCCCATGCAATCGTGAGCACAGCTGTGTTGAGGTAACACAGATTGCTGGCATTGTGAAGCTTGAGCTGAAGGATAGTGCTGAGATTGAGGCCCGCACCACGAATCACATCCCCTGTCTCACCTGCTCGACTAGGCCGTTGTACTGAGGTCTTTCTCGACGAAGTCGGCAGCCCAGGAGGTGCCATGCTGCCTGTCCCACCCATGTCTGCAGTGTGTTCCAGACGGGATCTCCAAGGGGTCGTAGAGAGATCTCCATTCGAAACTGCATCCACTCGGTAACCGGCTGATCCGTCATCTTCTTGTAGCTCCGAAATCTGTGTAACGCCTCCTCGGTGACTCCCTTCCGCATCTCCACTGTCTGCTTGAGAAGGTCCTCGGTGGAGACTGTAATCTTGCTTTCGTCCACCTGAAGTTCCTGACGTTGCAGATCCCACTTCAACACTCTCCAATGCCCACGTTCGTCCACCCAATTGAGCTTCTTGGCTTTTTCCATTTCCGATGTATCCTTGGCGATCGAAGTTAGACGACCGTGAAGTTCGATCATGAGTTGCTTGAACATCGCGCGATTTTGAGAGAGTAGGTCAAGGTGTGGGGTGAGGTCTCCTTCGCTTGCCTCCACTTCTCGGCGGTTTGATGCAGAAGTGACACTATGCTGCCCTGTCCCGTCTTGACAAAGAGGTAGAGGGTGACATCCTGGCGAAGGGAGGCTAGGGTTTGCTCCTGTTGGAGGACCAGCTTGGTGAGGTTCCACATGTGCAGCTGGTAGGGATCCTGAGTTCGGTCGTCCTTGTAGTAGGGCTGGATCGCTTCGGTCGACCACGGAGTTTCCCACTGCTCGGAACCACCTGCATAGTCCCAACGAGTTGCCGTTTCCCATTTTTGCCTTTGCCCTTGGTCATCTGTCTCGTCGAGAAGGGCTCCTCGGGTCGGGGCCGCTTGGTGGGCGGTGTGACTCGCTGATGGTCCGATCCGAAAAATTTGGCCTCTTCCTCGTCCAGATCCATGTAGTACAGGGTGAAGTTGGTCATACCAAGCTTGAAGGTAGGCACAGATACTAAGAACCGGACACTGAAAGTAATGACGATCCTTGTTGACCCTAGTCTGATGACAATATCTGCATGGGAGAACAATATGACGACGAAAGACCTGAAGCAACTGCACTGCTGCTTCTTTTGTCCCGAGCCAGGAGGCGTGTGCATGCGCAAGATGATGCTTCAGACCAACCGCATCAACACTCCACTGATAGCAGACAGGGCATCTGTGTTGAAGATACTGCTGGATCGCATTGTCACTGGCCAGCTCCACCCATTTGCGTTGCTGCAGCCTCAAAAGCACAGACTCCCACTGTTTAGGGGAGTGGCGGAGGCATCGGGAAGTGAAGGAGTTGCAGTCGCGTGCAGAGGGGAGCTGGTTGCAGAGGAGGCAGGCACATGGGTTGCAGTCTGGTCAGGCATGGCTTAGGCTGAGGGCAGGGCCATAGTCTCCACGGAATCTACCGGAACAGCAGGCTCACCTGAGGAGGAGGCAACAGCAGGACCTCGTTGGCCACGCAGAGTGGGGCAACGATTGCGCCGAATGTGTTGCGGTTGTCCCACTGGCGAAAAACATGTCCACACAGACGACATGTAGGTAGACCGTTCAAACTATGTCGGCTGCGGCTGCGGTCAGAAACAGTTTCATCTGCTTTGGGGGCTCTCTGACGATGCTCAGCAGATTCGTGCACTCGCAAAAGCCGATAGCAATGAAAAGTCTTGCCACAAGTATGGCACAGAAAGGGTGCCTGAGAAGAGGCGTCGTCTCCAGTCAGCTGGATTTGCCATTGTTCAGCCTGCCAGGCTTGCAATTGGGCAGCAGCTGCCCTAGCGTCCTGTATATGCACTTCCGTAACAGTATCTCCAAAGTGAGAGTTGGTACAAAGTTGGTGGTGGAGTGTATGGGCCTCTTTGTGCAGGATGTCGAGTATCGTCGCGATGCCGAATCTCTGGTGACGGTCGGAAGTAGAGACCTTGCTAAGATGAGCATAGAGATGGGTAATGGCTCGAAGGTGCTTGGTGAGCTGATGCTGGATTCTCTGCAAGTCTTTAAGTCCCGGAGCCGTGGCAGCCAGTCCATATACCATGGTAGGGCTCACGGTGGCCTTCCATGTGGCAATGCGCTTGTGGACATCCAGTTGGGCACGAGAGCACAAGATCTTCCGTAGCCTCTGCCAGTCTGCCAGGCTAGGTTGGCAGCCTGCATGCGATGAGCTACAGTGTGCTTTGCAGCAGAGTAATAGGAAATGGAGACCCCCAGATAGACATGCTGATCTTTGAGTGGGAACTCGAAGCATCGTCCCTTAGGAGTGCGTAGCTGTATGTAGGGAGCTCCCTCTTTGACGAGTCTGTGCTGTTGCAGCCAGCGCTTAGCGAATCGGCCACAGACCCGAAGCAGCATCGCTGATTTCTTGGAGTTGATGCGCATCTGAGCATCAGCTAGAACATCCAGCAGTGAGCCGATACGATGCTCTGCTCTGACAAGGTCAGCATACGTGGTGACTATATCAGAAGCATGGAAGTCATCTGCATAGCCAGTTACAGACTGGGCTACCCACGCAATGGACGTGGTTTGCTGCAAAGCAATTAGCGAATAACCCGGGAAGCTTGTACCCATTTTTCCCATCCAAGATGATTAATGTAGTACGTCACTTCACTGTACCAGCTGGAGACCCAATCTTGAAGCTCCTGGGGAATCTGTGCAGCTATCATTGCTTCGGATAGCAACTTCCAGGATAATACATCAAAAGCAGATGTTAGGTCCAGGGAAAGCTGCAACCCGCCTTGATTCACCTTGGCTCTGGGCTTGTTCTCATAGGCATCCATGAGCTTGCGCGCCGGTGTGGAGCAGGCCTGTTGTACTTGTTTGCAATGTGATTGCACTCTGAGAATGGCGTGACTGGTGCTGCGCTGTGCCAAATAGGCGTACTGAGGCAGTGAGTGCAAATACTGCTGTGTATGAGGACGAAGGCGCTGTTGCAAAATGCGAGCGATGGCTCGTCCCCCCACTTCCGTGAGCCCAATAGAGGGCGAAGATGCTTTGGTTCTTGTGGCCGAGGAATGATCGAGATTAAGGTGAGCCATGCATCCTTCCAAAGTTGTGGCACTTGGGAGGCCTGCCTCGTGAAGCTCTTTTGTAAGATCGTTTTCGAGCCGAGGTCCATTGCAAAGGACCCAAGGGACTAGACACAGCTGAGGCCGATGCCGGCGCAACATGGAAGGGTAGCTGAGATACAGGTGCACCTGCGACCAGGCCAGGCTGTGCACCAAGAGCCGAGAGAGCCAGTAAGGCACGCAGAGGCCAAAGAGGCCTCAGCCAGAGGCCGTGCCGCGACTGCATGCGCAAATGCTGCGGCCATGCTGGGGGGGTGGGTGGGGGGGCGGGGGGTGGGGTTAGGGCGGGGTGGGGTGAGGGCCGGGCAAGGGTGGCCGTGACTGCCTGGGTCGTTGTGGCCTCGCCGTGGTGCTGGTAGAATATCAGTATCCGCGGTAGGGCTCTCATCATCACCAGTAGTTGCAGTGATGGCGGTGTCCTGTGCCGGTGGATCCGCGGATCCGCTAGAAGTCGCCGGTGCTGCATCAGTCTTCGCCGCCGAGGCTGAACAAGGCTTCCTGACTGAATCGTCAGTCGAGCCTGAGCCGGGGTTTTGTCACGTTCCAGCTCCGACGGAATATGCGGTGGCATCGGCTTGGTGGACCGGCTCATTGTGCGAGGGTCCGCATGGCTGTCTTGGATCCCTGCTCGCTCCGCCGCCCGGATCTTTGGCTTGGGACGAAGTCTGCCTCGACCATCTATGTCAGGCTCAGAAGGCGACGGGATAGAAAGAGCTGGTGGCGTAGCTGGAGCAGGGATCTGGCGGGCCTCTGTCAGAGCATCCGTTGGTAGCTGCAGCGGCTCGGTGGGCCGCCTCGAGCCAGCTGGCCAATCAGATCAGCCGATTGCTGGGCCACATGTGACTTGAGTCGCTGCTCATCGCAGCAGGTGCGCTTGGCACTACCGGTGCGGCGCCGAACTTTTGTTTCCCCCGATTGGCACAGTCATGGGAGATTGCGAGGTGATCTGGGGATGTGTGGATGCTTGGACATGAGTTTCCAACTGCGGATGGATGATCAGAGCGCTTCATCCTGACCGCCGTGACTTTCCTTTGAAGTTCCTTAAGTGCATAGCAGCGCGCAAAGATGCACATGAGGGTGATCCAAAAATCAGTGGCAGTGCAGGCAACCTGATGATCGTCTTTTTCCTGCTCATGGCTTTGTACCCTATTCTGCTGTGCCCAGGTCTTCATTATGTATGCTTCCGTGTCCTGTCGTGCCGTGAACTCCGTGAACTCAGCAATGTTGTGATGCGCCTACACCATGTGCGGAGCTGATCATCATATACATTGGAACAGGGTACACAGGGATTCAGGCTCAAAGACGCGGTGACGTGCATCTCCTTTTCCCTGTCCTGATCGGTGTGAGTGTCATGAGCGGCCTGCATGCTTTTTCAGGAATGCAGGTGCACGGGGCGACGAGGGGGATGATACCATTATGATTCTTTATGCTGGATGCCTCTGAGTCGGATTCGGAGATGCAATGCTTGCAGCCCAGCAAGCAGCCTTGTCACCTAGGAGCTCCACGCCAGGGGATATCAGTTGCTATGAACGGATGCTGTCGGCCACCTTCCAGCTCCCCCAGGGATGGTTTGCATCGACCTAGCTTTACAGTGCTTTCACAAAGGCGAGATCACATGGGAACAGATTGCTAAATTGATAGAGCTCCTGCCTGCTACAGGCAAGTTCCGATGGGATCAGGCCTCTGGCTCTACCTCGGGACTCCCAAATCTTTCATGACGGGCGCGTGGGCACGAGGGCCTCAGCATGGACTCACTCGAAACGCCAGGCTTTACCCCTTTGTCAGCAGCTTGCTCGCTTTCATGCTCCGCAGTGTGGAACCTGCCTTTCGTTTCAGCTCATGCACATTATATCCGGCAATGTATGCGCCAAACCACATCATGACAGCCACAGTGCCAAAGGAAGTTGGGACCTTGTGGTTCCGTGCTCGCATTTTGTGGGAGGCAGAATATGGGTTCAGCAGGAAGAAGGCCAGTGCTTGTTGCAACCAGGAGGCAAACCAGGAACCATATGGAATGCCAACACTCCGACGCGCTTCAATCCAGGCAAATGGCATGCAACATCACCATGGTCGGGTGAGCGCATCATGCTCATCGGATACCATGTTAAGCATGATGTCAACAAGCTGCCGGGTGATGATTATGAGGCGCTATGCTCTATGGGATTCCAGCCTGATCCAAATCTTGACTAATTAAGGTCCTCATTGTTTGCCGCGCAGGGAGCGAGGCAGATTTAAGCATCAACACGTGCGCCGGAAAATGCTGTCACAGAAGAGTGGTTCGAGAGCAAGCATGGTGGTTCTTGGAGACTTTCATCGCAATGTGTGCAGTAGTAAGGTCCTTGTCTTTATCATCGTGATTGAGGACCGATACTTTTGAGTGCTCCAGTGATGTCCAATTTCTTCGTTGATGCAGGATGCCCAGGCTCGGCGAGCAGCCACTTGAAAACATGAGAAGGGATCAGCTTGCAATGAGCGGATGCTGTACAGTTCGTCTTCTCTGATCCTGATTCGTGAATGCAGATGGGGTTTGGGGCTGTCGGTCCACCCGTCTGTATGGCGACATGTCTGGTGCTGTCGGCACGATGTCGCAACTTCATTCGAATGCCGCTTTACATGGCGATCTCCTGACTAAGTCAGGTTCATTGAACTTTGATTGAGTTCTCAACACAAGCCCAGTGCGCTCCCAAGAGGAGCCGATTCAAGTAGCATCGCCGGCTTCACTCATAGGTCGCTCTTGAGCGGTTGTGCACGCAAAGCAGTAGTAGTAGTAGTAGTAGCAGCAGCAGCAGCAGGAGTAGTAGTAGTAGTAGTAGTAGTAGTAGTGGTAGCGGTAGTGGTAGTGGTAGTGGTAGTAGTGGTAGTGGTAGTGGTAGTAGTGGTAGTGGTAGTGGCAGTGGTAGTGGTGGTAGTGGTCGTGGTCGTGGTCGTGGTCGTGGTCGTGGTCGTGGTCGTCGTCGTGGTCGTGGTCGTGGTAGTGGTAGTGGTAGTGGTAGTGGTAGTAGTAGTAGTAGTAGTAGTAGTAGTAGTAGTAGTAGTATAGTAGTAGTAGTAGTAGTAGTAGTAGCAGTAGTAGTAGCAGTAGTAGTAGTAGTAGCAGCAGGAGTAGTAGTAGTAGTAGTAGAAGTAGTAGTAGTAGTAGTAGTAGCGGTAGCGGTAGTGGTAGTGGTAGTGGTAGTAGTGGTAGTGGTAGTGGTAGTGGTAGTGGTAGTGGTAGTAGTGGTAGTGGTAGTGGTAGTGGTGGTAGTGGTGGTAGTGGTCGTGGTCGTGGTCGTGGTCGTGGTAGTGGTAGTGGTAGTAGTAGTAGTAGTAGTAGCAGTAGTAGTAGTAGTAGTAGCAGCAGGAGTAGTAGTAGTAGTAGTAGTAGTAGTAGTAGTAGTAGTAGTAGTAGTGGCAGTAGTACTTGCGACAACATTACCAGTAGTAGCAGCAGGAGGTGCCAGGCAAATGTTGTAGAACGCCTCCAGGTTTGTGTTTGTTGGTTCAGGGCTTGGGAACGTCTCGCAGGTGGAGCGGGGGTGGGGCAGGGGATTGGCACGGCCGTTCATGTTGCGAAGATGCACCAGCACTGGTAATTATCTCTTTTTTTTTTGCCATCTGGACATTGCGGCCCAGCTTGAAGTTTCAAGGAAGGCGCACAGTCACAAGTGTCAATTACTGTTGCGCTCATGCCCCAAACACAGGTGTATTTACGGAGTTCTTGGTGCTAGGTTCTCCTAACTGACTGCAAATGCTTGATGTCTTTGGTGTCTACATGTGTTTACGGCAGTTTACGGCATTTTCGTGTCTTCGGGTTTGGAGTCACTTGGCAGTGGAACCCAGAAGCTGTGGAGCCGAGAGGCCCTAATTGCATCGGGAGCCAACGTTATGAATCATGAAGCATTTTGATGCGCGCGTAAACTCGGCGCCCGCCCCAGTAAGAGGCTTCAAACAAAATTGCCTGGTGGGAGTCCAGTGAAGTCGCCAACACGAACATTTGCGATATCGAATTCGGAAAAGGGAGACATACATTGCCCCGGCGACAGTCTTATCTCGCATTGACCCAATTCATCCAGAATTCGCCGCAGGCTGTCAGAGACAGGAAGGTTGAAGAAGCTCGACGGGAGTTTGATGAAGACATGAAGAAGGCCCATGTTTTTGGCCGAGGCCAGCCTGTGAACCCGAGCTGTCCTCAGGCTGAAGACACTATCCAAAAGGATCTTGCAAAGGCTTGGTTTAAGTCTTTGTGTTGCCACCGCGGTATTCGCGGCCAGTCCCGCTTCTACGAGAAAAACCATTACCACCATCAGCTCTGTGTTTAAACTCATGTCTTGCATCCTGGCCGACGGATCTGCAGATAGCCAACAAATGGAAAGTCTCGCAAATGACGTCAGGCCATGGCAAACGAAGAGAACCGGCTCAAGGAGCAGTCAGCAGCAAATGTAGCTAAGGTCGCAGCCACGGACATGCACGGGGCATGCGATGCCCTTATATGGCACTCTCTCAAGATATGCAAGCTGAGGCCAAAGAGGAGGCTTTGCAGCAGGCGCTTTGCCAAGTTCGGCAAGTGTGGTGAAATTTGGTGAAAGTATGCTAAGTATGCCTGCAACACGCTGTCACAGCACTGTGCCACTCCCTTTTTCGCAGTCCGTGGTTCGACTAGGCCGCGCCCAAAGCTGAGAAGCAGGCTAAGGAAGCCGCGGAGAAGAGGCCACGCGTCATGGAGCATTCATTGGAGCATTCATGTAGAAGCCGATTAGTTTGACAATCGACATCATTCTGTTCAGCAGTCGCGCTTGCCGGAGAGTGGGCTTCCGTCAATGGAGACTCTGTGCAAACTCGGAGTCGGGTGCTCTCCGGCAGCCAGCCTATTATTGCACGCACGCTGCGCTGTCATGGTTGCTCTATTGTATGCTATGTCTGTTCTGTTTACATAGTTGCCAAATCAGGCGTCGAAGAAAAAGATAGTTTGTCACTTTGCTTTTTCTCCTAGCTTGCTTTGTGTTGGCTTTCATGCTTAGTGCTAGAACGACACAACTTGGTTCATGAGTGAGATTGCTTGCTGAGCGCGAACGATATTTAGCTGTTACGAGTCCATATGGGGCCTTAGTATCCCCAGAAATGCAACGGTATTTCTTCGTAAAGCCAGGAGCGAGCATTGCCATGTTTTTAGCATGAACAGTTCCATCATGCCAGAATCCCTTATTTCAAGCGTGACAGCGGCGATTCAAGCTCCATGTATGATCCCGGTTCGGCCGGCCCCCCCCCTCCCCCCCCAATGGTTCCTCCATGTTCCTCCTCCCCCCTCTGTGGTGTGGTGTGGTGTGGTGTGGTTGTGGGTTGCTTGCCTCTGCCTGTGGTGTGGTGTGGTGTGGTTCGGGAGTGGGTCTGCTTAGGCTGGTTACCCCACTCCCCCCTGTGGTGTGGTGTGGTTTGGGTTTCCTGCGTGGATCTGCTGTGGTGTGGTGTGGTTGTGGGTTGCTTCCCCCGCCCTGTGGTGTGGTGTGGTGTGGTGTGGTGTGGTGTGGTTCGGGAGTGGGTCTGCTTAGGGTGGTTACCCCACTCCCCCCTGTGGTGTGGTGTGGTTTGGGTTTCCTGCGTGGGTCTGCTGTGGTGTGGCGTGGTTGTGGGTTGCTTCCCCCGGTGACATGTCCATGAGAGAGCTGCCGAGTGACTTCTGCTTCCCAGCCGGGACAGATGCTATGCCCATGCCATGCTTTCGGAAGTTTTGCTCGAGAGCGAGCCTGACGCAACACCGTGTGTGATGGCAACCTCCGCCGCCTCGGAAGCAACACCCCGCCGGACCAAGGAGTCGAAGTTGGTGCAGATCTACGGGGACGAGGACTCTGCAATGGTGACCGATCAAGAGGATCTCCAGCCCAAGGCGAGAAACAATCCGTGGCCGGTGGCACGGGAGCGGGGATGGGAGGCCGCCAGCGCCACTGCCGAGCAGCGTGGCGAAGCGGCGGGCAAAGCAAGCTGGGGGCAAGAGCAAGGCGGCGCAGCATCGAGCGCTCGCCGGGGAGTTAAGGCGGACTACCCGAGCGTGTCGCAGGTGTGGAGCTGGGATGTGGCGCTGAACATCGCCGCGTCGACGTGGAGCCGCATGGTGACCTTTGATTGGAAGACGTTCTTGCATGTGGCAGCTGAGGGTCAAACGGGCGGTGGATCATCGCATTTGCTGGGTGTCCTTGGATGGCAAAGCCGTCAGGTGGAGACACTCTTTGGGAACGCCGCCGTGCGCAGCTGCCTGTCTGGAAGTGGGTGGCTGAGGTGTGGGAACTCCAAGTGGCTTTGGATCCACCTGCTTATTCTCAGGCCCTTCACCTCTTGTGACTCTTGTGCCTGAGGAAGGAGGCATGGGACTTGGTGCAAGCTCGAGAGTTGATCGTGGTGGTGAACAATGTCCCTATGAAACGCCAGCTTCAGGGCCGCGGCGTGGTCCTCGCGGGCACTTGGGCAAAGGTGGTCCTCGGCATGAAGGGCAGTGGCCGGATGGCTTCTCGGGGACTCTCGGGGCAGCCGAGCTGGCTTGGCAGAACGTGGACGCCGGCCGGCAGCACCCTGAGGTTGTGTGACGGAGTCCCTGTGGTCGTGAAGAGCGGGCTTGGGAGGCGCCGGTGAGCAGCATAAGCGGCCCGAGGAGAACTTGCGCAAGGCAGGGGTCCACCGGCGAGCGGTATGACGGGTATGACTACATCGCGTTCGAGGGCACCGCGATGCAGCAACCCCGGCGTCTTCGGCAGGTTGTGGCTCATTTGCATGTGACGCTGGGGCACCTGCTTTCGTTGAGCGGGGGCCAGAAGAGTGGGGTCTTGGCCAAGCATTTGAGGTGCCAGGTTTGCGCTAGGGTGAGTCCTCCTCAGGCTACGCCGCAGGTGGCCTATGGAAAGCCCAAGCACAGTTCAACGAGCGCTTGATGGGGACTCTTTCTACGTCTGGGATAAGGCCGGGCGGAAGTTCGTGGTGACCCACTTCATTGGCAGCCTCGACGATTACCACATTGGCGATCTCACGGATCGGGAAATTTTGCAGGACCTATGGATAGCTTCTTTTGGGGACCTGCTGGTGACCGATGGCTGGCCTGAGTTCTGTGGGAATATTGAGACGGTGGCAGCGCTCTTTGGGATGGTGCATGAGGTGGTCTTCGAGGGCGCAAAGTGGCGGATGGGATTGGCTGAGAGGCATGGCGCGATCATCAAGCTGATGATGAGTATGAACCTGGAGGGGATGTGGCCGCCTCGCCGCAAAGACTCGAGCTTTGAACAAGAGCGGTGTGTCGCCCATGCAGGCGGCCCAGCACCACCCTGCCCGGCTCGCTGCTCCAGCATATCTGCACAGGCCAGATGCAGTACCTGGTACAACCAGGAGATGGAGACCAATGAGACTCTTGAACGAGCCGACCGGATCAGGCAGGGGCTGTGGAGGCATACTGCTGGCTGGATGCACACTCGGTCACTCGGCATTGAGGAAGGCCCCGAATTCGGCTGCGTGGTCGCGTAAGGCTTTTCCTTTGGAGAAGATCCGTTTGGCCGCATTGCGAGACGGTGTCGGCTCAGTTCGTGAACGATGCTCTGAAGGAGGTGGAGGCTGAACTACAAGGTAGCCAAGTTCGGGTCGAAGAGGTTGCCTGTCTTTCTGAAGAGGTGGTTCCGGTCCCGAGCTTCTCATCGTTTTCCTCCTCTTCTTCCACCTCCGACACTGCTGGAGGGGAGCAAGCTCAACCAAAGGTGGATCCTCAGTCCGAGGAGCAGGAGCGACGGGCCAAGGCGTTGGATGATGTGCCACTGCGGGCTTTTGCAGATCGGCGGAAGTCGGAGGAAGCTTTGGACTTTGCTAGAAACGCAAGCTCTTCGAGTAGTTGGCAAGAGTCTGGAACCGCCCCCCGGTTCTGGAGGAGCGATAGATTCGCGACCATCTCCCCAACATCTACGGCAAGTTCAAGGAGGTGAATAAGAAGGCCCCCAAGTTGAGGGAGGCGGAAGGACGCGCGGTGGCGGTAAAGGCGGGGCTCGAGCTGAGGCCAGCCGACGTGCCCGTGGCGTCATGGTGGTGGAGGAAGATGTGGACATCGGCTCCTGGTTGGCTACTGGTGAGTACGAGACCTTGTCGCAGGACACGTTGGGTCACTGGACGTTGTGGAGCTCCCCGTCGGTCAGTGCAGGAGTGGCCGAGACCCAGAAGGTTTCAGCTCGCCTGCAGAGGGAGGAGGCGACAGCGGCGGCGTCACGGGGGTGAAGACGGGCAAGGCCAGGCGGAGTATCGTTGGCGCAACCTCGGCAACGACTGGCCTGCTTTGAAGAAGGCCGCCCCATGGTGCGGGCCTGGGGAAATGAGGAGATGTCCGGACTTCGGAATCAGCGGCTACTTCAACTTCCGGGTCCTTCAGTGTCGAGTTCGGAATCGACGGCCACTTCAATGTTCGGGGGTCCACACAGTCAACTTCCGGGGGTCCTTCAGTGTCGAGTTCGGAATCGACGGATTCGGGGGTGTTTCTACGTCAAGAACGTCAGGTGGTCTGCAACTAGGTGACACCGCGTCCGAGGAGATGCCAGCAAGTACCGCGGAGGGGGTCATTGCCTACGTGCACGAGAAGGTCTTGGGTGAGGACGGCGGCTCCGAGCTCACCGCGGAGGAGAAGCGACTGATCGGCTCGGTGGTTGGGCAAGTGAATAAGGGCGTTATGACCTAGCGTTTGCCGCCTTTTGACCCACTTCAAAGCTCTGCCTTGCCCGGCAAGGCAGAGCTTTGAAGTGGGTCAATGCCACCGTGCGGCGAGCACGGGAAGACCTCAACCTGGTGATCCGAAAGTTCGACTGTGACCCCGCGGAGCTTCTGGTGGTGTCAGTGAGCGATGCCGCATATGGGGCCATGCCGAACGGTGGGCACCAAGGTGGCACTATGATATTCGCCCACCCCGCAGTCCTTCGAGGTGCTGGTGCCGTCTGCATCATGGAGGCGGCGAGCACGAAGATACAGCGAGTGGTGCGGTGCTCGATGTCGGCTGAGGTGAGCTCGTTGGCCACAGCTTTTGAGCACGGCGACTTTGTCCGAGCGGTGCTTGCAGAGTTGTTGGATCCCAACTTTCGGATAGAACGATGGACCTCCAAGTCCAAGAAGATCTTGAATACAGCGACGAGCAAGGAAAACCAATGGGAAGTTAAGACGCGTTGGCCCCACCTGTAAAAAGCTGTTTGTGCAGCAGTGTAGCTGACATTGTAAAACAAGATCTGCGTGTACATGGCCATGTGCCGAATGAGCAGATGCTGCAAGAATTACAAAACTCACAACCGTTTGCGTGTTACAGCTAGACACGATTTCGGGCTGCAGATGTGATCTGTATCCGCGGACGAATCGGCGATGCTCAACTGTACACTATTCGCTCGTGGCCGATAGATGCGTCCTTCTGTTGCAGGCTGGCCGAAGCCGAGGCCGGGATGCCTGCGATGCGCAATCAACTTGTGGCACATTGCGATTTGTTGGTTCTTGATGCGCAGTTTTGCTGTGGTCATGTCGTTTTTGGCCTTTGCTCAGGCCAAACTTCGGACTGCACGGCAACGTCTCGAGGTCAATGGCGAGGACTGCTCAGTGGGCTTTCTTGCCATTGAGGGACCTGTAGGTTTCTGAGATTTCTTGAGCGGCTCGGAGGCCAAGGAAGATGTGGAAGCCGAGGAGTTAAAGGGGACGTCCAAGGTCGGAACCTTTGAACTCCAAGAGCTCCTGGCTCCCGCCTGCTCCGCCTGCTCCGCCTGCTCTGCCTTCTGCTAAGGCAAGCCGGAAGCGCAAAGGCTGAAGCCTCGGCAGTTGAGGAGAATGAGCTTGTGAGATTCTGGTCTCGAGTTGTAGGTTCCGACACATCAGAATATTCCTACTCCGGAGACGAAGCCGACGGATGAGGCGACCGAGTCACCATGCGCTTAGCGGCTTAGCATCTACCAGCATTCCAAACACCTTCTGTACTGACCCTTTGGTTTTCTTTTCTTTCGGAGGCTGTGTTAATCGAGGGTTGATTGAAGAGCTAGACTCCTGGACGTCTAGGTCTGATTGAAGTCGCTGTGGCGTGTCCCTGTCCGATGTGAACATGTACCGGTGTAACGATCAAACACTGCCTCCGGCTCTCCTCTTCATCCAGATCTAACGGGAGTAGGTGCAGGCCTGCACCATCATATTGTGATATTCCATGATCGGACCCGAAAGCGGCAGCTGTGACAGGCAAGGCTACGCCCGATCGACCGAGCGCAAGCAGCGGGTTTAAAAGAGTCACGGTTGCAGCACACGATTGTGATAACAGCTTCGACTGAAAGCGCATCACTGGGACTGCATTGGCTTTTTTGACTGCAGCTCTGTAGTGAATCTGACCACACACATGTTGATACATGCTGCTCGTGCACAATCGGAAATCTGGAAAGCGGGACGGCAGCATTGGGTTGCAGCAAATTGAACAGAGGGAGCCAGGCAACAAAGGCATGCCGCCGTCGCTGTTTTCAGACAATCCGTCGCTGACCCGGAGAACAAGGAAATCGTTTCGATGGACTATGCAATGTGTGCACCACAGCCTAGCATGTCGCAGCTGGTCTTGGCAGTCACCTTGCAGATGACTCAGAGTTGGCCTGTTCTGGTCTGAGGGTACCCGTGTCTGAGCTGCACCCAGCAGCCATGGGCATCGCTGCCGTTCTTGGCCTGTGCCTCAGGCCTCGAGTTTAGACTTGCTCGGACAGCCTGACGAGCAAGAATCGTCGTGGCAGAGATGGTTGAACTCATGCCCAGATGTGTCAGGTTTGAGCCTCGCGTGTTTTGTGTACCAGTGCTGTGCGAAGCCCATCCTCGACGAACAGGACTCGATCATGGTTGCCAAAGCTTATAACTGCCGCGGCCAAGCACAGCAGCACAGGATTTCAAGATCAAGAAGGCTCGCATTGAAGCGAAGAAAGCCATGAGCAAAAAGAAGTGAGCCGCCCTGCAAGAATCCTTTGGATTCCGCTCTGGACAGCGCAGAAGCTTACGAGGGAGTGGGCTTCTGCGTCCTTGACCAGAGCTTACACGCTGACCAAAGTCGTCGCAGAAGTGTCTTAAATAGAGGACCATCCAAGCCGGCGCAAGACAGAAACAGTAAACCAACGAGGACCAACAGAGCAACATAGAGCAACCTCTGCCGCGCTGCACTTGTTTGGTTTTGTTTTGTTTGAGTTGATTTTGCTTTCGGGCGTGGTGTATTCTGGCCCGGTGACCAGCAAGACTCCAGTGCAAACACCTGTTGCTAGCTTTCCTTGACCAGTCTACGTCTTTTTTCTTTCTTTTCCCTGCTTTTGCACTCCTGCTTTTTGCCTTTTGCTCCTGCTGCTTTCTGCTTGCGTTAATTGAGAAGCCAATAGCTGGCAGCTCTGGGTCTTGATCGGATGAATTGTTGCCGACTCTATTGGCCTGGACATGCCTGGACCCCATCTCGTCGATGGGCAGGATTACGGGGTACACCACGGTGTAGACCCTTGTGCGGTTTCGGTTCTGGTCGGAACAGACCTAAGTAAGCTCTCAGCCTCAAGCCGGGAATTTCGTCCTCCCATATAAACCCGCCCAAGTTTTTGGTTGCAGCTCAAATATCGTACGGCAAAACCGGGCCCCGCAAGTTGGAAGTTCTTGAATAGCCTGCCTGGCGACAACATCCAGAAAATCCCAGCTACTCGACACTATGATTCTACAGCCTGCGGCCAAACATGACCCACAACTTGCTTGCAATCCCCTGTTTCGTTTGCAGCAACAACAACCTTGCATCGAAAGGGGACCCTGCAACTTGCAATTTCCCGGCAGCTGCAGAGGACTCGGTGCATCGTAATGCCGCAGCAGTGTAGCCTCATAACAGGACCCCGCGCGCTGGAGTTCGCGAATGCCTCAACTGGCTCGACCCGCCGTGTACCCAGTAGGAAAGCCCCGTGTTGTTTTGTTGCTCGGCCCGCGGTGTTCCAAACAACGCAAAACAGTGCACACATTTAGGCCCGCCGCAGAGTGCAGAACTCGAAAACGTGCGGAGCCAGACACAGACCCAGACAAAGACAGAGACAGACGGAGAGCCAGAGAGACAGAGAGACAGGGAGACAGACACACAGAGAGACAGGGAGACAGAGAGGGCAGGCAGACAGACAGACGGACGGACGGACGACAGACAGCCAGACCGAGATAGACCGAGAGAAGCTCGGAGACGAACAGGCGCACAGACGCACGACGCACAGACAGACGAACAGAGGCACAGATAGACAGAGCCAGACAGAGCCAGTCAGACAGACAGACAGACAGAGAGAGACATAGAGAGAGGGAGGACTGCTCCCGCTCCAAGCCCCTAGCAAAGCAAAGCAAAGAGAGAGCGAGGGAGAGAGAGACGCACCTCCGTGTGGGGGACGCCTATATTCTCTCGATGCCGAAGGGGACCCGCCGCTGGATGCACAAGTACATTGTCCCACAGGTCGCCCTCCAGTACTACATAGACTGGCAGCGAGAGTGGACAGTGGGGAGAGGCCCGTCATATTTGCCAACCGGAGGGAGACAACCTATCAGCCGGTGGCAAGAACTCGGGGAACGCCTCATGCCACAACGTCAACGACCGCGAGCTCAAGACACAGACCAAGACGGGGGGCAAGACGACGATGAGGAACACCAGCAAGAGGACGAGTCCAACCTCATGCAAACACGACTGGGGGGCTCGGCCAGCAGCACTGACGTGCCTCCCGCTGCAGTTCCTCCAGGATGCCTCGCAATTGCCATGGTCCGGCGATGCCTCCGCCGCCTGACGGCAGTGTTAGCTGCCACGCCAGCAATGGAGTTACAGCAGTCGGTGGAGAACCTTCTCATGTTGCTAGACCCGCAGAGCCTGGGGGGGTCTAGCAGCTCGATGTGGGGAGAGCCCAAAAAGCGCCGAGTGTCCAATGAGTTCATGGAAGTGGAGGGACAGCTGCGGCGACTCTCTCGTCGCCTTCCGAGCACACTGACAGACGACGACCTGGCAGAGGACTTCTCAGTGGGGATAGCAACCCTCACTCAAGGGCTCGACAACCTGCAGCGTGCCACGTCGGACCAAGGGGGGCTCCAGGTCACAGAAGCCGTTGAGGGGGCGCGCACAGCCATAAAAGCAATGGCTGCAGCCAGAGACCGCATGCTACGAGGAGACCGAAGCTGGCTGAGCGAAGGCTGGCTCCTTACAGTGGCCAGTCTCCCCGGGGGGCTAGCCATGGAGCTCCTCTATGTCCCGCCGGCAGTACATCCTAGCAATGTCGTGGCACTTGACCATGGTGGTGAAGAGATGCTGGGGGATGTGCCGCCGCTTCGTCGAGTCAAGCACTGCCTACGAGAGCTGGGGGGGCTTTTACCCTTCCTCACTACCAATGAAGGGGAACCCACCAGAAGCCTTCTTGCCCAGTTGCTACAATGGGTACAGGAGCAGGAAAAAAGCACCCTGCTCGTGGATAGCCAGGGCAACTTGGAGACGCAGGAGGCCCAACCCGGGCCGAGTCTGTTCGGGGGCCTACAACACGCCACGAACGAGCAACCTCTGGAGGGCAGCGAGGATGTGGAGCAGGCGGCGCAGACGCTTGAGCAGGGGGACACCGAGGACCACAACGACCCTGCCGAGAGCCAACCAACCACTGCGGAAGACAGACCTGGAGAGACGCTTCCGGAGGGGGTGCCCCCCATGGAGGGGGATAGCCAGGAACACGTTGCAACAGTGCCGGTGTTCTGGAATCTCAGAGCAGCAATGGCGGAAGTGGAGGTGCCCTCGTCGGCAGAGCGCAACGCTACACACGAAGAAGAACCTCAGCACGACAGTGAACCAACAGCCAGTGAAATAGCCGAGTCTCACTTTCTGCAAGAACAGGTTGAAGCAGAGCTTGCCGACTTGGGGCGAAGCTCACGTAGGAGGCTCATGAGTCCCCCCGGCAGTCGCCGAAGAGCCCCCGCTAGTTATCGTACCGATGACTCAGACTGAGCGATGTTGGGGGGACCACTTCACGGGGCACCACAAGTAGCAAAACAAAGTCGTAGTTGGGTTTTCTTGAATGGTGTGATGGGTCTGTCCAGTGCCGTTGTTTGTAAGTGAAGGTGCAGCCGGAGCCTCAGTTGTACAGTTTCCCTTTTGCGCGCTTTTCGCACTCACAGCCAGTCGCACACAACAGAAGAAATCCTACTTAGGGTGCATGTGATCGTACTGTGTGAGTTGTTTGAGTGTTGTGAACCCGTGTGCACTGTCGGCTACGTGTGGCCCACCAACACGGTGGCCTCCTAACAGTGCGGCGCCAAGCTAGAGACAAGTGGTCGACCACCCTTCGTAGGGGGGCTCCCCCCCCAGTCTTCAAGGCGGGTTGGGGGTTAGGTTAGTGGTTTCCGGGGGGAGATCCGGTGCGTCGGACCACAAGCTGTCTCGGTAGTTCTGTCAGTCCTGTACACCCCCCAGTGCGCGGTAACGCGCGAGGGGGGCGCGGACCTCGGATCGCGCTTCCCTCTGCCTGTGCTGAAGAAGAGAGAGAGAGAGAGAGAGAGAGAGAGAGAGAGAGAGAGAGAGAGAGTTGCGTCCGAAAGGCTTTCGACAGCATCGCCCAAGATGCTCTCGCTGTCATGGTCCGAGACTCCGTCGCCAAACGGGGCGGACTGGTCTGGGAGAGCCGCATGTGGCTAGAAATCCTCGAAGCGAAGGCCATCGACATCTACATCGGCAAGTCCCTTGTCTCCGTAACCCAGACGAACGGAGTGAGACAGGGTAGTCCGGACAGCGCGGTGCTCTACTCGGCGTCGATAGGTGAGACCCTCCAAGACCTCCACGACAACGTGCCACTGGGCGAAGCGGGGCGAGCAGACCTTGCAAAGTGCCCCTCCCAAGGGGCGGGGTACATGGACGACACATACCTGTGGTCAGAGAACGCCAAAGCAATGCAGAGAGCCATCACCTACCTCGAGGGGAAGTTGGGGAAAAAGGGCAATGTGGTCAATGTCGTCAAGACACAGATCCTCTGCAGCGAGCCGGATGACACTGAGTTTCGCGTCGGAGGTCAAAAAGTGAAAGCAGGCGGGGCGACAGACATCATGAACGCGCTGGGGTCGCCTCTGACCTTTGAGAAGAGCGGCGTCACCGCGCTCACGGCGGATCTCCAAGCCCGGGGCAGGCGCGCCTTCCATGCGCGCCGCAGACTGCTCTGCGCGAGAACTCCGCTCGAGAACCGCATGAAAATGCTGACCACCTTGGTCAGAAACTCTGCGACTGCGCCACCTGGCCCAACAACGCTGCCCTCCTTCGTGCGGCCAATGCGTGCCAACTCGGATGTGTGCGCGCCATGATCGGCACCAAGCGGGGCGCTACAGAATCATGGGCGGAATGGCAGGTGCGCACGATGAGAATGGCAAGGGTGGCCCTCTTCAACAGCAGACAGGAGCGATGGTTTACATATGCGCTTCGACAAATGTGGAAGCTACATGGACATGCTGCCAGACACCCGGGGCCCACCAAAGACTTGCTCCTTTGGCGCAACCTGAAGTGGTGGAAAGAGGTTGCCGAGCCAGCGGGGTGCAAGCATGGCGGCCGATTCAACAGCTCCGTCGACATAGAGCGGAGCATCTCCCGCATCGGGGGATACGACTGGGTGGACCTAGCACAAGACCGCGACCAGTGGCAAGCCCTCCAGGAAAGCTTTGTGGAAGAGTTTGATCTTCCCTGGGCCAGTGGAAGGCAACCTGCCATCGCCAACCTGACTCAGATCCGCAGCTTCACGCCGAAGTCACGGCCCAAGCCCACAGCAGCACTCACGGACAGCGTTGTGAGCGGGCGAATGACCCCTGGGATCCCTGCCGGGGCGAGTGCCAGCGACAGCCAGAGCTCGTCCGCCAGCGCCAAAAGCTGAAGCCCGCAATCTGCCTGCCTGAGTGACAGCGACCTCGAGCCCTTGCTGCACCTACAACACCCCACAACCTGCAGTGTCCATAAACCTGATCCTGACCAAGCTGCACGAGATACCGATTCAGAACTACATGACGAAGCCAATGAGCTCCAGCTTCAGTTTGACCTCAAGCCTTACCAGTACTACCTAACCGAGCTGATGTATCACCCTCGAACTCCTGACCAACCTCTTCTAGTACTACCTGTTCAAAGCCAGCCCGAACCTCTAGAAGACGATGCAGAACCTGACGGCCCCAATACCCACCGCAACCTCCTCCACAACCGACAACAATAAGCCACGAGATGCACAGGACCAGGCTGCAGCAGTGAAGTCGTCTTGCCGGTGAGCTCAGTCGTGCATATGCGTCGCCGCGGCCTTCAGCCTAGACTGAGTAGCTACAACACGACGGTAGTACAACATGACGGGGCGGAAACTCCTCCCTAGCAGCAGCCTGGCCATTTTGGCCTTACTGGGCCAAGCCTTGTGGTGGGGCGGCACGGCAGGACCCAACCCGGGACACCCACTAAGGACGTAGCCACCGACACAGACGACCTGCCCAGCAGGGCGACACGCATGGGCACCACCGCGACCCAGAACGCACAGCAAGCGACTCCAAGCACAGTCGAAGCAACCGCACAGCACCCAGCAGCAAACGCGGCAGCTGGACAACCCACGGCCAACAGCGACCCGCCACCTACCACGCCACAGCAGACGCATGCGACCGCGAGTGCCACCTTGCCGGGCGGGCAGCCGCGGCGCAACCTTTGGCAAGCCTACTACCCTTATAAGAATCTTTGGGCTACAGACTGGGTGGGTGTCCAGAATTATGTTTTGCATTATGTTTGCATTTATTTTGTGTTGCGGGTTTGCGTTTTCTGGCCTATGCATTTTCTTTACGTTTTGTGTTTGCATTTTTTCTGTCTTTGCATTTTTTTTTGTGTTCCGAGTTTGCATTTTCTTTTTGTTTTGTGTTTGCATTTATTCTGTCTTTGCATTTTTTTGTGTTCCGGGTTTTCATGCTTTTGGAGTCTGCATTTGTTTTGTGTTCCCGGTTTGCATTCTTTTGGCGTCTATGTGTTCTTGGTGTTCCTGGTTTGCATGTGTGGGTAATCCCGCTACAATGCTTGCCTGCTGCCTCAAATCTTCCTTGTGGCTTTGAAGATGAACCTGAATCTTGGCTGCATTCTCCGGCTTTCCTCAAGCAATCCAGATTTGTCCCTGGTCGTTGCTGACTTGCTTTGTGTGTTCAGCCAATACGTCATTCCACAGTGTTTCGAAATTGACAGTTGTGAGGTTTTGCAACTAGACGACGTGCCATGGTCACTAGGTTCTGGGTTCGCTACTGAGACTCAGACACTATCTTACGAGGACACTAGGCCTGTAGGCAACTGCGGATCATGGGATGGCCCCCCACCCACCCCCTTACCCCTCCTCCGCCCCCTCCCCCCCCTCCCCCCCCCAAATTGGCCCTGACCAGGCCCGGCCCCAAGCCGGGCCCTGACCCCGCCTGGCCCCCCGCGCCGGGGTGGGCGGGGCCGAAGCGTGGTCCTGGTGCTGGGCCGTTTTTCTTGCTTTTTCAATGTTTTTTTGCATTTTTTTTGCATTTTCCTTGCACTGGCGTTTGCGCCTTGCATTTTGCTTGCATTTTTTTTGCATCTCCCCGGTGCCTGGCGTTTTCTTTGCATTTTGGTTGCATCTCCCCGGCGCCGTGTAGCGTGCTGGCATTAATTGTGCACCTGCTCCTGCGCCTGAGCGTTTTTGTTGGTCCGAATTGGTTGGCAAGTTCCCGCGGAGCACTGGCACCCTGTGTTTGCATATGTGAGAAATATATGTCTTGACATGTGTCTGCACTCAAGGCCAAGCGTTGGCTTTGCACGTTTCCTAAAACTATCCCACTCTATAGACTGCGCTGCATAGCCATAAGTCTGAAGTTCCATCGCCGGGCCTCTGCGGCCTCAACTAGCATCTAAACCATGCATTGCACCCGGGCCATACCCTTCCGAATGATTCCTTTGATTATGTTTGTAGTTGCACATGTACGTAAAGAATCTAGTGCTACTGCGAAAACACATACGTAGAGCATATACACTGGTATACCTCGTCTAAGTAGCAAAAAAAACGCAAGCTGCAAACAAAAGCAAACAGCAAATGCAAAAAAAACGCAAGGCGATTTTGAAATGCAAAAAAAACGCAAACCGCAAATGCAAAAACAACGCAAGGCGATTGAAATGCAAAAAAACGCAAACCGCAAATGCAAAATAAATGCAAGTCAACATGCCCTGACCCTGGTTGGAAATTCCAACTGCAAGTCCTGCTGTAGCCTGCAGAGATTCTTATAATACTACCCAGCCCCTTATGTGGCTGCCCAAGACGTTTGGTCCGGAGGCGGATGGTACCCCGATGACGACAGCAGCCCACCGGCCGCAACCAACCCCCTACCGGAACCCGGACAGTCGTCAGCCACAGGCAACCACAGACCCACAGACACCGGAGCCCGGCACCACACCAACCCAAGGCCCTGCCACAGACACCGATGGGATGCCACTGCATGGACCCAGGCCACCACCAGGGGTACCCCCGCTGCCAAACATGTGGCAAGCTGAATACCTTCACTGGCTCACAGCAGGAGAACTTCCTGACACATACATAGAGAGGGAACTGCTGCCCCTTCTCGACCCCCAACCACCAGCCCAGACGTCAACAGCCACAGAACCACGGCCAGCAACCGTAGCCCCCGGCGCAACCGAAAACACGGGGCGGCACGACGGCCCAGACACGGTGACAACACCACAAAAGAAAGCACAGCACCAACCCACCATCACCACAGACACAGAAAGGGCGACGAACCACAGCCCGGAAGCACCCACAACAGCCGCAGAGCCCACCACCGTACCACAGGCCGAGGACAGACCTCCACCGCCACCTGCAGCGACGCAGACCAAGCGAGCCCTCAAGATCCAACTACAGCGACTAGGCCTGTGGCCACGGGGCGGCACCGGCCAAGGAGCCCGATACCAGCCACATCAAGCACGCCCCCCACCACGCCCCCGGACAGCTGACCCGAATTGGGCAGACCTGCTCAATAGACACCTGCAGCCACTCCGATACAACACCCCCAAAGGGGCTGGAACGGCACAACCAGCTGACGGCGGACCAGCAGCCACAGCAGCCACCACTCCAACCCACACGACCCAACACCCCAAGGCGACGCCCGTGACAAAACCGCCGCCGGTCAAGCAGCCCCCGGCGCAACCCAAGCCACCACCACCACCCCCCCCAACCATGGACGCCGACGTCGACCCCGCACCCTGGGACCAGCCCGCAGCTAACTCCACAGACCCGGCACCACACGAACCAGCGAGCAGCTCCACAGACCCACCGCCGCACGGGCTGACACGCAAACCCCCCACTGTCCCCCTCAGCCATGGCCGCAGCCCAGGAGCGCCTCAGCACACAGCCACAAGCCGCAGCCAACCATCCATCAACAGACCCACCATCCCCACTAACAAGTGGGCGCGGGGGCGCATCCTGGCACAGGAAGCAGGCACCCCCACTTCCCCACCGTGGTGGCTCGTGCAGATAGAAAGCCACCCACTGCGAAAGGAGGAGCATGAACTGGCAGCACTCCGAGCAGACCCTAACCCCCTTCGCACCATACCACCTCGCACCCCCCATCTCCACAGGGACGGTCTTGTCCCTCACCAGGCCAAACTTACAAACCTACATAGCAGAAGTGGTGGCAGCACCTCCCCCAGGCAGCTACGAACTCAACGCAGCCATCCTATGTGAGGGAGACATCCTCACATTCATGTGGCAGGATGGGGAATGGATCCTGGACGTCCACCTCAACGAAGCAGCGGGGTGCAGCGACTCTGGGACGGACACGACCCAACCCACTGCAGCATCCGATGAAGCACACTCGGAGCATACTGCAGACCCCGAAGCCTGTCAAACACAAGGCGGGGCGACTGACCCACCACAAGCTGATGGCGACCCACTCCAAAGCAGCTGCCACACCCAAGGCGGGGCGACAGCCACACCACTAGACCACCAAAGCCCCGCCAGCGCCACGAACACAGCCACAGCAAACACCGGACCCACACCACCACAGAGCAGCCACAGCCACAGCCAGAACCACCAACCACAACAGGAAACCCCAGCGGCCACGGCAAGCTCCTCGACGGTCAGCCACACAAACAGCAGACCCACACAGGGGTCACCACAGACACACCAACCACAGTACCACCAACCACAGCAGGAAACCTCAGCCACGGCAAGCTCCTCAGGCGATGCAGCGCCACATGCCACGCAGAACCACCAACCACAGCAGGAAACTACCTCAGCCACGGCAAGCTCCTCCTCACATACAGGAACAGGCAGTGCAAGCACACCACATGGACCACTCTCCGATGGGCGTACCCTTAGGCGAAGCCAGCAGGCAGAAAACAGACCACCGCCAAGCACCACCACGCCACCAAGCAGACCCAGTCTACTGCAGCAAATACAGGATGGCAGACCCCTGGGCAACAGACTTCAGCCCCCTCCACCAGAGCATGACCAACCTGCACTCATGCAGAGGCCGGGGCGACCCTCCTCGTCCAACCAAGCCCCGAACCACTTGGAAGATGCCATCGACAAGCTGCGCAGCCTACTGTTCGAAACGGGCATGCGAGAAATGCCTGAGGTTACATACCATGTAGTCATACTACTTAACCTCATTGTGCCGGAGCGGAACAACCACACACCGAACAACCGCACGTGCGAGTCACCACAGAAGAGAACCCGCAGCACACACTCGCTCTTCCGAGAAGCAGCAGTCCACCTGCACAGCCTAGCAGCCATAGGACATAGCCCACAACTTGCAACTCCTCCGATACTACAGCAACTGGCACGAGCCTTGCAACTAGTCACCAGGGGGATTGACACCTCACCCGGGGCGACACAGATGGGGGTAAGCAGTGCAC